ATATCAACTATCTATCCTGTCTGTCTGTAAATACATCCATCTATCCATATCTATCTATCAATCCATCATTATATCAACAATCTATCCACCCATCTATCTAATCCCATCAACTATCTAACTACCCATTATCTATCCAGCTGGCTATCTCCTTTCTTAACGGCCAGCGACCAGTGGGAGGAATTGCCCACCTGAAACAACTGGCACTGTCACAAAGAAGTAACTCGCTGCCTTCACAGCAGATGGTGCAGTACGTCTGGTATCCATCATCATCATACATGTAGAAAAGTTCCAGAAAGCGATCCTAGGAGACAAAACAGGACAAAACAGGACACATGTGACATGAAGAAAAAAGAAAGAAAACTGGCATTTTTTGCCCAGTTTTACATGTGGCACTGCAGACCAGACTTCCCTGTGATGACCCAGGGTGGGATACAAATTAAACGCAGTCACAAAAACAGGGGAAGCCCCTTTTATTCCTTCAACTTGGCTTCAAAACTCCAAATATCCTTGACTGGAGACAAAAAAACTCCCCCACAAGCAGTTATGAAAAGGAGGAAACGCTACACCAAATACAAACTAGACCTCATGGATGATCCTCACCTTGGAGTTCTCATATCTAAGGACCTAAGCGCCAGAGGCTCACTGTAACAGCATGGCCAAAAAGGCATTAAGAGTTGTAAATCTAATCTTACGAAGCTTCTCCTCCAGAAATATTGAATTGCTAACTAGAGCATACAAAGCCTTTGCTAGACCAATACTCGAATACAGCTCATCAGCCTGGAATCTGCACTGTATATCAGACATTAATACAATCAAGCGAGTTCAGAAGTATTTCACGAGAAGAGTTACTACACTCCTCTGCTCGCAACAGAATACCCTATATCAGGGGTCCCCAACCACCGGTCCGCGGACCAGTACTGGTCTGCGGAACAAGTCCTACCGGGCTGCTGGCTTGCTGGGTGCCGCCATCTTTTTTTGATGAAAAAGTGCTTCCGGTGAGCTTTTCCGGGTAGAAAGCTCACCGGAAGCACGTTTTCATCAAAAAAAGATGGCGGCGCCAGCGCTTCCGGTGAGCTTTTCCGGGTAGAAAGCCATTTTTACCCTGAAAAGCTCATCGGAAGCGCTGGCGCCATCTTTTTTTGATGAAAAAGATGGCGCCGCCCAGCTGATGCCGGTACCGGGCCGCGGCGCTCAGCTGATGCTGGTACCGGGCCGCGGCGTAAAAAAGGTTGGGGATCACTGCCCTATATCACCAGGCTTGAGATTTTGGGCTTGGACAACCTTGAAGTACGCCACCTATGGTTAGACTTAAGCGTAGCACACAAAATTATCTGCTACAATGTCCTACCTGTCAATGACTACTTCAGCTTCAACCACAACAATACAAGAGCACACAACAGATACAAACTCAATGTAAACCGCTTCAAACTTGATTGCAGAAAGTATAACTTCAGCCACAGAGTGGTCAATGCCTGGAATGCCCTACCTGACTCTGTTGTTACATCCTCTAACCCCCAAACTCCTTTAACCTCAAGCTAACCACTATTGACCTCACCCCATTCCTAAGAGGTCTGTAAGTGCACCATCGTGCCTACCATCCCTGTCCTATTGTCCCCATTTATTCGTACCTATTTCCTGTATGCTTACTCATGTTTATACTTATACCTATGATCTTGTAAGCAATTGACAGATCAAATAAATAAATAAATTATAAGAGTAAAAACAACACAAACCACACTGAAGCGATTAAGGGAATCAGGCAAGGTAAGGGCTTGAAGACGTCCACAGATATTGGAACACACACTGGGAAGGACACCAAACTTGAGAGAGGAATGACAGACTAGAGATATTTCCATGCTTTGTTTCCAGCACTGGCCCATATGCATGTCCGTCCCAGTTCTCACAGCTGCAGCCCATGAAGGGCCCATCAAGGGCCTTTCCTCCCGTAGACCACGCCATTCACGTTTCTCCCTTATCCTCTCCTCCCTGCGTGCCCTAGGATGGAGAGGGGATGGCCCTGGGTCTTCCTCTGACTGCCCAGCCGGCCTCTGCCCTTCCCCAGCCTCCTCCACAACCTACGGAGCCACACTCCCACTCCCTGTCGGCTGTTCCTCCTCTCCCTCAGAGTCAGTCCCCAACAGGGGCATGACACTTCCCTAACGATTTGAGATGGGCAGCAAAGTAGATCGAAATAACAAATCAAACGAGCTTCTAAAAGCCGAAATTTTAGGAAAGGATCCCCGATCTTTTTTTTTTAGGATTTTCCTGCCACGAAGAAGCATCATCATCCTATCGAGATGAGCTGCAGTTGAACAAAAGTCGAACCATCCCAAGTCCTGCCTTGGCCAAGCAAAGGGATTTACCTGATGCCAGGTGAAAGCACTTCCCTTGCCCACCTCGTGCCCAACTTACCTGGCACGTCCTGCAAAGTCCCCCTTCAAAGAGTGGGTGGTCAGTCACCGGGTTCTTCTTCCCACAGGACAGGCAGCTGTCTGTTCAAAGAGAGTTCAAGGTTGGACACCCCTGCTATAGGCAGCCTTCTCAACTGGCTGCTCTCCATATGTTCTGGACTTCAGCTCCCAGAATCCACCAGGGCACTGACTTTAGCCAATCTCCCGCACCAGTCAAGTAAAGGAACTTAAAACCTGTTTCATTCATTTTGGAAGGTTGGGGTTCTTGAGGCCTTTAGGAACAGCCACATATCACCCCCTTTTTCCCCATCTCTTGCCTGCTCCCCAAAACTAAACAGGCCTAGAGAAATAGGTGGTGACTGTGTAGTTGAATATAAACTCGGCCCCTTTAAGTCCTGGGCACTTCGACTCCCAGAATCCCTAAGTCAGCTGCCTAGATCGGGGTTTCTCAAACCTTTTAAGATGGATAGACTTCAACTCCCAGAATTCCCCAGCCTGCATAATCAGCTGCCTAGACTGGTGTTTCTCAAACCTTTTTGTGGACTTCAACTCCCAGAATGCCCCAGCCGGCTGCCTACAACAGTGTTTCTCAAACCTCCTTAAAATAGGTAGACTTCAACTCCCAGAATTCCTCAGCCGGCATAGTCAGTGGTCTTAAAACAGTCTTTTTCAAGCCACTTTAAGATGGGCGGACTTCAACTCCCAGAATTCCCCAGCCAGCCGATTCGATGCAGTTGGGTTCTCATTTAGCATTGGTGTGATTTGATTTAGTGTGGTGTTTTCCAATCTTCACAACCTGAAGAGGGTTGCACTTCAACTCCCAGAATTCCCCAGCCAGCATAGTCAGCTGCCTAGACCGGTGTTTCTCAAACCTTTTTAGGCTTTGTGGACTTCAACTCCCAGAATCCCCCAGCCGGCTGCCTACAGCAGTGTTTCTCAAACCTCCTTCAGATGGGGAGACTTCAACTCCCAGAATTCCTCAGCCAGCTGCCTAGATCGGTGTTTCTCAAACCCCAAGATGGCTGGACTTCAACTCCCAGAATCCCCCAGCCAGCTGCCTACATCAGTGTTTCTCAAACCTCCTTCAGATGGCTGGACTTCAACTCCCAGAATTCCTCAGCCAGCTGCCTAGATCGGTGTTTCTCAAACCCCAAGATGGCTGGACTTCATCTCCCAGAATTCCCCAGCCGGCTCGGGAATTCTGGGACTTGAAGTCCAGCCATCTTAAAGGGCCCAAATTTGAGAAACCCTGATTTAGATGTTACCCATTATCAAAACATGGAAACAATCCATTCTTTTGAGCCCAGATGCCAAGAAACTGATTTTCCACCTTCCAAAACAGAGGAAAGGAACTCAAAAGTTTCCAGAAGACGCAAACTAGCACTTGTATAATGACTCAGACCCATGGCTGAATTTCTGGTCGGCCACATCTCCAGGAAGGGAGTATTTGCCATGGGACTTCCACCCCCCCCTCCAACACCAGCCCACCTGATACAAGCGGTCCTTGACTTATGACAATTGAGCACAACGTTTCCGTTGCTAAGTGAGACAGTATGTTGAATGAGGTTTGCTCACATTTTTTTGCGACCTTTCTTGGCCAGGGATGTTAAGCGAAACCCTGCAGTGGGTTAAGTTAGTAAGACGGTCGTTAAGTGAATCTGGCTTGACCCCATTGGCTTGGCTCGCCAGACAATTGCAAAAGGAGGGATCACGTGAACCCAGGGATGCCGCGACCGTCGTAAATACGAGTCCGTGGCCAAGTGGCTGGATTTTGATCGTTATGGCCACGGGGAAATGCTGCTGTGAAAAAAACGGTCCTGGTGCCACTTTTTTTCGGCGCCGTTGTAACTTGGAACAGTCACTAAACAAGCAGTTGTAAGTGGGCGGACTACTTGTACGCTTTGAAGGTCAAAGAGGCTCCTTACCTTCCAAGCAAGTTTTGTTATTTTTGGCTTCAGAAACCATCCGTTCTGCAAAAGGATCACAAAACACGTTTGGTAAGCAACTGATGGGAGATATGCAGGGAAAGGAATTCCCACCCCCCAAGCAGGGGTGGGCTTCAAATAATTTAACCACTGGTTCTCGGCCCGGTTGCTGGGTGGGCATGGCCTAGTCTGCAAGAAAACTACCAAGCTCAGACCCCTAAGAACCCCACAGTCGTCGTCCTCCTCCTCTTCCTCCTCTCTACAAACCCCCTTCCTTCTAGCACTGATGATATTCCCTAGTAGGGCGATGAAACGTCCGCAAGCATTGGCCCTAGTCAGCCTCCTGCACCACCACCCTGGGAGCGAAAACAGGCTGCAGGGGTGGCATTTTTCACCCTCCCCGGGCTCCGGAGGCTCTCTGGAGGCCAGAAACGGGCCTATTTCTGGCCTCCAGAACTTCCGGGAGGCCCATTTTTCACCCTCCCCAGGCTCTGGAGGCTCTCTGGAGGCTCTCTGGAGGCCAGAAACGGGCCTATTTCTTTCCTCCAGAACTTCCGGGAGGCCCGTTTTTCACCCTCCCCGGGCTCCGGAGGCTTTCCTTGAGTCTCTGAAAGGCCATTTTCGCTCTCCCTCGGCTCTGGAGGATCTCAGGGAGGCTGGAAACGGGCCCCTTCTGAAACTTCCAGCAGGCCTGGTTTTTTGTCCTCCCTGAGCCTCCACACGGGCCCTACCCTTACCTGTGATCCAAAACGGACCATGTGGGGGAGTCCTAGGAGGGGAGGGGTGGGATTTGCCAGTTCACCAATCTGGCCATAAAATTTAACAACCGGTTCTCCCAAACCAGTGCGAACCGGTAGCAGCCCCCCCACTGCACCAAAGGGGCATCTCTAAAAGATCTCCCCACAACTTCTGGGTACAACACACATGGATCTTTCCCGCCAAAGGATCCGATATATGCTGGAGCCCCCTCCCCGCTCCTCCCCTCCCCACCCCACAGTCCTTGTTGAAGTCACACACACACACACACACACCTCTGGATCGGTTCTCGGGTGTCTCCTTACTGTTGGTACTGCTAGACCCATTGGTCTTAGGTCGCTTGGGTGGCGGCGCAGGATCTGGGGGGCTCGAGTCCTCTATGATGATGGTGGGAAACGGTTTAACATCTGCCAAAAATAGATCGCTGTTGTAACTTTGAATGGACAAATTGAATGAAACAAATTGTTGTACGTGGAGCGCTATCTGTAATTCTTACTGTCTATAATTGCCTATAATCAATTCCTTCAGAAATGGTAATAATTAATAAGATATTTGAATGCGCTGAAATGGACAGATTGACAGTGTTATTGAAAAAGCAAGAAAGAAGGAGACTATTATAAAATATGGGATGTTTGGTACAAATGGTTAAGGAGAAGACGCAAAGACGTCAAATGATAATGTATGAAAAAGTACAAAGTAATATTATATACGTGTGTGTGTGTGTGTGTGTGTGTAAATAAATATATATATGCATTTAGGTACAACAATGTTTAGAATGAGGAAGAATTTAATACAGCATTGGATAATATAAATGTTAATAACTATCGTAAACACTGTTACAGTATCGTTGCAAAATGTGGAGATTTGTTTTTAATTGTTGAAACATTGAATAAATAAATTATTTTTAAAAAAATTCCTACTGCCTGTAATTTGCCTATAATCCATTCCCAATGTCACTTTTAGTCATACAATCCATTCCCATAATCGCCTATCATCGTATCATCACCTATACTCAATTCCCGACACCCATCATCCTCTTCTTTTAACGACCCCATAATCCCTTGCGGGTCGGAGTCTGGAGCTGAAAGTTTCACTGGCCGGATGCCTTTCCTGTTGCAGATACGGAGTTATATTCAGTGGATATATCCTCATTGTGCCCAGAGAGACACCCCCAAAACCCAGGTGAGTAAACGTAACCAATCTTGGCATCCCTGCTTCCCAGCCTGCAGGGTTACAGCCCACAATCCCGCTGCCCTTTGCTGGGGAAGCCCGGGGCGGGGTGGGGGGTGGGGGGGTCTTACCTAATGTCTTGGGGGGTCTTAGCCCCTTCTCTCCCGTGGGCTTGAATCCCTGGTTGGCCCAGTCCATCATGGGCTTCAGTTTCTCCTCCAGAGATTCCCCGGTAACGGTGGAGAAGGTCTTCTCCGCTCGGCTGCTTGCAACCTGCAACGCGCAAGAATTTTGGTCCCAGCAGGATTGGGGCTGGGGGCCGCAGAGCTGGAGGAAATGCCCAGAAGCCCCCTCCCCATTCAACAGGCCATCGACCTATGCGAAGGTTCTAGGGTGGATCTGCCCAAATCCCACCCATGGAATGTGTCCCAGCCTGGAGCATGGATGGGTTTTGAAGCATTGCTAGGTAGGCCCACCTGGAGTGGTTTGGATTTGGCAGTGTGTACACACACACACACAATTCTCACAAAAGTATACATCAGCAAATGAGGGGAAGGAATGTCCCTTCGAGGGCAATCAAGGGCGATTTTTACTGCAGCCATGTACAGCTGTAGCTTTGGGTTGAACTGTGGGGTCCTAGCTGCTCTCTGATGTTTGGATGTTTTCTGGCAGACATTTCATGACCCAACCGGGGAACATCCTCACTGCGAGGAAGAGGAGGAGGAGGGGGACTGTGGGGGTCCTTAGAGCTCTCTGGGCTTGGTAGTTTTCTTGCAGACCCTACTAAGGAATATCATCAGTGCTAGAAGGAAGGGGGTTTGGAGAGAGGAGGAGGAGGACTATGGGGTCCTTAGGGCTCTCTGAGCTTGGTGGTTTCCTTGCAGACCTTTAATTACCCAACTAGGGAACATCATCAGTGCCAGAAGGGGAGGAGGAGGAGGAGGAGAATGACGATGAATATGGGGTCCTTAGGGCTCTCTGAGCTTGGTAGTTTTCTTGCAGACCTTTAATTACCCAACTAGGGAACATCATCAGTGTCAGAAGGGGAGGAGGAGGAGGAGGAGGAAGAGGAGGAGGAGGACTGTCGGGGTCCTTAGGGCTCTCTGAGCTTGTTAGTTTTCTTGCAGACCTTTAATTACCCTACTAGGGCACATCATCAGCTCTGCAAGGGAGGAGGAAGAGGAGGAGAATGACTATGGGGTCCTTGGTGCTGTCTTATTCCCTTGCAGACATTTTCATAACCCAACTAGGTAACATCATCAGTGCTAGAAGGGAGTGGAGTTTACTTCCTATTTATATACTAGAGACTTGCTCTGTTCTTCTTGGCGGGGACGTTTTATGTATTTATTTGTATCCTGCCTTTTATTATTTTTTACAAATAAATCCAGGGGGCTTTCTTTGCCCAATGTATTTTTCCTCCTCTTACTTTCCATCTATCATCTGGCTGGGCTATTGAACGACTGCAAGAAAACAGCCAAGCTCAGAGAGCACCAACGTCCCCATCCTCCCAGCACTGATGATATTCCCTAGTTGGGTCATGAAACGTCTG